CCTTGTTGTCTCGGATTCTCCAGCATCTGCAGTTCCTACTATCTCTGGGTAGCAGCACCAGTTGGTCCCTTGCATTTTCGTCCCTTTTTGGCACTTGTTTTAGCAGCAAGAACAAATATACACTTTGTAATTGCCAGTTTTGAGCATCACTTCAAATAAAATGCTTACATCCCTTACAAGTTTATTTTTCTTTCTTGACGAATATTTAAATTTATTGAATTCATTAGAGAGCTTCGGCAATTAACCTCTGCTGTCTTGCTTTTCTGCTAAATTTTGGGTGTTGTTAATCCTACTAATGTTTTCAGGAATTAATTGCCTGGGCACCACCCAGATTACTCAGTAAAATAATCATAAGGACAATAAAAGTCAGTTTCCCATTTATTTGAAAACACTTTACTTATTATAGTCATTATAAATGTTTGTAATTATAATTGATGTTGGTATTCTTTTTGCACCTAGAGGTGGTTTTGGAACCATTCACAGTCTAAATATATATAGACTAACCATGATTGTCAGGGTGTAGGTCCAGCTTCAAACCACCAGAAGTGTATTGAAGGATAGGAGAAAATTGCAGAAAATTACAATGTTGCTGAAAATAAAAGCTTGAAACTACTAGGAATAATTGAACATCCCAGGTGTTCTTACCCTCTGGAAACAGACTAAGGAAATTTGTTCCTGTGGTATACAAGTGTCAGAATAATCAAGTTGGGGCAAATGGCCCATTTTATGGTCTCGACTCAATGCAGCTACTTGTCAACATGACAATAATAAAATTCCCTTGCATTTTTCAAATTTCTACATGCAAAACTCAATTTGCGTATTCACTTGATGTCTTTCATCACTAATCTACTTGGTTAAAGAACTGCAATAGATTGAGTCATACCCATTGCTGAAAATCTATACTCTTCATTTGTTGTTATTTTTCAGGATTAAGAAAAGTCCTTAAAAATGGTATTAACTCCTTGTGCTCCATAGACAGTAGCCTGTTGCTTCCAGGTTCCTCTTTCGAAATGAATCTCAAGTTTTCAATTGGGTGATAATTTGATGCTATTGGAATATAGACTACAAGGAATTTTTGCATGTTTGAATTCTAATAATAGCAAACGAAATAAAAGAATGAAATTTTAAATTCAGAAAATTATAAAAAATGGGTAATTTATTTATTGGATAAAACAATCTAACAAAAGAGCATTTATAGAACAGACATGTACAACACAGCTAATTTACAAACACAAGCTGAACACACTTTGAAGCTACATTATAATTACAATAATCATTTTTCTAGATATCGGAATATACTTCTGGTATGAGCGTTTTTTGTTGGCGTCTTCTCTGTCCGTGAGCGTTTTGCCAATGAGGAGATTGGAGTAGCTGCTGCCTTTCTTTTCATCTGAAAAAAAAAAAAAAAAAAAAAAAAAAAAAAAAAAGTAGATCCATTAGTTCTGTTGACAGTATGGTTCCAAACAGTACCAACAGATTCAGCAACAGTCACTCAACTGGTAGGACATTAGAACGCAACTACACCAGTCTCTCAAGACTGATCTGTCCTTCAACTCCATTTACTTATTTGGATCAATATTTATGATGCCTTTAGCTAAAAGGTTTTTTTCAAGTCTTGAAAATGTCAATTAACACAGTATCTGCTTTTTTTTTTTGAAAGTGTACATCAGATTTTCATTACCTTTACACAGAAAAAAAATGACTGATCTCATTGTAAAATGGCCTAACTCCAATCTTATTATGCCCTCCTTTTCTGGATCTCCCACACCAGAGGAAGTATTAGCATTGACTCTCAGATCTATCAAGTCCATTTTAGGAACATATAATATTTGATTTCATCAGCCATCATGCTTTTATTGCAAGAAACTACAACCAAGAACTGAACCAACAATTAGCCTCTTAAACCTCAAAATAATTCTAGCGAATCAGAAATTTACTCTCCTTCGAATGTAATTTACTTCCCATGGTTTAGTGCCCAAAAATGAAAACAGCACATCGGATAGGGTCTAACTAAGGCTTCATAAAAATGAACAAGCTTTGGTTTTTGAATTCTAAGTCCTTAAGGCAAACATTACATTAGTCTTTTAGATTGTGTTATACTGGTGCACTCAGGGAGGACCTAAATACTTAGATCTTCAACAGTCCGCGGGGGGAAAGAGAACAATTTCAACTTGTCTGTTCTCACTACTTATTATCCAAGTGCCATGCTGAATGGTGTAGGTAACCAGGGGTCCTCCAAACTTCCAAATCATAGCAAGGAAGGATGACCTTGCTGGAGTTCTGGCTAGGTTAGTCTTTTATCTAGCTGCTTCCTACACTGTCAACCTCTTCTTCCGTTAATCCTTCTCGTGATGATTGAGCACTACAACACTTCTACACAGATAACATATACCAGATAACCTCCATTTATCTTCTTTTGATATGACTGAGGAGGTCTCTTGTTCTTTTGGATTAACTCAAATACGTTGATTCTTTCCTTCACCTCATTTAGGAATCTTAAGTGCATTGTAAAGTTGTTGATTTTCTTTTCATTTTCCCAATATGGTTTACATGCATAATCAGTTATTGATCAAACATTGGACTCAAGCTGACATTTCTTAGAAATGTTGCCTGGTTTTGAAAAAAAACTAAACAACCTGTCCTGCCTTTTTCAATTTCAGTATTGTTTTTGACATTGGACAGCATTTCCGAGATAGTTGAATTGATTGAGTTGCATCCATTTATTGCAATGTTGCATAATCCCTTTTCATTACCATAGTGTCGGCTTCCTATCAGTTGAGTGCAAGCCCTATCCACCATTTCCTTTTGCAACTGTATTGATTAATTTTTGCAAATTTTCATGTGCTCCTAGAAGTACTGTAGCATCAACGTAGCAAACGTTCCTACTTTTATACTACCCCTTCAGTTCCTCAGAATGCAATCATGGTATAGGCAGGAGAAACAGAGAACACAGCTTTGTCGGACCTCTTCTCATTGCTTTCCCATAAGAGTTTGCTCTCAAACCTGACCATCGCTACCTCATCCAAAAGAATAACCTGATTAAACCGATGATAGTCCCTTGTTGAGGTCTTACGGCATGAGGTAATGACATTAGACTTTATCAAAAGTTTTAGGATAATAAATTAGAAAATAGGTTGAGATGGTTTTGAATTTCATAATAGCAAGGTTTTTAAAAGATTAATTGCATCTTATGTCTCTTTATCCTCCTCAAAACCAGAGGCCTTGACTTTCATTCCCAGTTCTGGTGTATATAGATGGGACAATTCTTAATTCTGTAAGAGCCCTTCATTCACGCAATTAGCAGTATTCCTTTATGATGTTAGTACATTTAAGGACATAAAAAACTGAAACAGTGCAATGAATTCTGAAATACTATGACACTTTTTGCCTTACTAGAATGTCACAAATAGCTGCTGGGGGCAGTAAATAATTAGATTAATTTATTTTGAAGTAATTAGCCTGTGAGTACTTCTGTAGTCAAGGTGATTTTTTTTAAGGTTATAGATGCCTAATATTAGAATTAATGGCTTTTATGTACATTATTTCTTGTTCAGACATAAAATCATACCATACTTCAGTACGGTGGGGAGGTTTTTTGAACTTAAGAAAAATACTGATAGCTGAAAGAGACTTTTAGCTTTACTTTGAGTTTTGAGCAGACATGTAAAGTCCCTCAAATGAAGATGCTTGTATAGTTCAGTGCTCTGGAGAAGGTAAAAATACAGTGAAAACTAGATTACTACAGAGGAATGAGGTAGCATTAATTCCAGGCCAGGGGTGTTGGGATAAAAAGACACAAGTCAGGAGTGTGATGGAATAGTCCACACTTTCCGGGGCAAGTGCAGTTCCAACAACACTCAAAAAGCTTGACAGAACAAAGCAGATCACTTGAATGGCATCACAACCACAAACATTCACTCCCTCCCCTACTGACGTGCAATAGCTGCAGCATATACCAACCTCAAAATGCACTGCAGAAATGCAGTGCGGCTCCTTAGTCAGAACTTTCCGAAAACACAATGATGACCATCAAGGAGGACAAGGGAACATTATCATCTGCAAATTCCCCTCTCACCATCCTGACTTGGAAACACATTACTAGTCCTTCACTTGTTGTGTCAAAATCCTGGAACTCCCTGGCTATTCACCTTCTCCATATACCTCATTATTTTATAAACTCCAGAAAGGTCACCCATCAGCCTCCAGGGGAGAAAAACACCAGTCTATTCAGCCTCTCCCAGTCCTGACAAAGTCCTTGTAAATCTTTTCTGCGCCCTGTCAAGTTTGACAATACCCTTCTTATAGAAGGGTGACCATGTCCTTTTGGGACAGATGTCTAGCATTCTTACCTATTCTGGCCTCGATACATGTGCAGCCTTGTGGGTCACAATTTTGGAGTACAGTATTTGTCCAATTCGAGGTAGGTGTGTGGACATTCTGCAGTTACCTGAGGTAGTCGGAACTCATGCACCACAAGCAAAGGAATCCATCAACTTCACGAGCTCCACATTGTTTCAGAGGGCTTGACTGCATTACCTTTAACCTCGAGAAATTGGCCAATTTCATTGGAGAAACAATGAAACAGCAGCACTCAGTACCGACGCAAATGCGAGGTCCTGGCTAAGGAAGGGTGCTTGTCTGGATCAGTCTACTTAGTGTATGAGCACTGACATCCCTGGATGACAAGGAATGCTTGTTACGCTTAGTACAACAGTTGCAGGGTTGGTACAGTGGTAGCTGGAATGGACGACTGCTGCACTTCAGCTGCCAGCCCCATGAACCCAACTTGAAGGGTAGCCTAAAGCTGCTCAGATATCCATGCAAAGTGAAGGTGTTGAAAGCTACTCAGCACCCTTACTCTTTCGCAGCCTCAGCTCCTCCACCAGTAAATCTCTGGTTTAATTTTCTTTAATACTCTGGCCATCAGGATTCTGAGAAAAAGAACTAGAGAGGAAGCACACACACAAAGTAAGGCTAAATGACAAATCCACCTCAATTTTGACAAAATCTTGCACTTTAAGGGAATTCACAAACTTGCTAATGAAATTTCACCAGTTCTTGTGGATGTTGGAAAGCAAAAGATGGTTCAATTCTACTGGAAAAAGACAATATGGGAGTGATGTCGTGAATACATAGATCCAGAAATTTAAGGGAAAAAAAGTAGAGTTTGGGCTGAATAGGAAATTACCAGGACCTGATGAAATTATAAGAGGACATTGAAGCAACAGGACATTTATGAAATGAAAAACTGACCATCACTAACATCCAAGAATCTGGCATGATCTCTGATGATCTAAGTAAGTCTGTTTTTATCATTTTCCCCAAAGACAGCTGGAATGCAAGTTACACCAAACAATCAACCTATTATCCATGTAGTAAAGTTCTTCAACATCTTAATGGCCAGAGTTAGAAAAAGAGAAATTCAGACACTGATCCTTTACTTTCTACAAAAATATACCAGGCCAATTACCCAGCAGCACTTGGTAACCAACAGATTAACACTTGTCCCTTGCATACTTCTCATCTCCATGTGCTCTTCCAGCAACATCATTTAAAATATATGGTATTTGGTTGTACATGTGTACTGATGGGCACCTAGCCATACATCTCACCATCACATCTCTCAGTCCACTCCTTTGGATGTGTCATAAATGATTGTTCAACAATTTTGCCAAATCAAAATTTCTAAGTAAACAGTGGATTCAGTTCTTCAGGCATGATTCCATTCGCCTTCCTGGACAGTCTCAGGCTGAACCAAACTATTCACAACTTTGATGTTGTATTTGACCCTGATCTAAGCTTCTGATCATACATCTTCTCCATGACTAAGATCAACATTCACCTCTGCAATAGTTTCTACTATTAAAACTCTCATATCGACACAACATTTTCAATACTTTTCTCTAACCTACCCGTTTTGTCTTTCCATAAATGTAAGCTCACTTAAAACAATGAAGTCCATATTGTAACTGCACAAAGTTCTGTTCATCTAAGTTCATGAATTAATGTACACTGTATTGTTGTCAAATACTAGAAAATACTAAATAAGTGCACTCTAAAACCATTCCTGTACATTTACTTATCTGATAAACTCTTTGGAACACCTTTCCAGTGCTAGACACAATAACTGTAAGCGATGTTCTCTCTAAGCCGCTCAGTCACACAGCTGCTCAGAGGATCCACACACTGATCGACACGCCAATGCTAATAGCAGCTTTGACTTCTGGTTTCAGATGTTGCTGCCACACAGTGACCTCAGAGATCCATGCAGAAGAAACAAAGATTAGCAGAAATGCTGCCTGCAAATTAACCTTGGTCTAAGCAACAGAAGCAACAGCTTCTTCCTTCTATGCTGGTTGCATAGTGTTCAGATATACTAGTTCAGGAACTTTTCACTCTGTAAAAAGTCGTAAGAGGACAGAAGGAACTATGAAATGAAGCAATTAATTACAGTGAGTAAAAGAGCTTCAATTCTTTACTCGTCCTTGTTGGCATCTTAACAAACAAACAAACAAACAAACAACAGTTAAGCAGGCCAGGGCATAGATCACCATAATGTGATTGTGATGTCAATGTGATTTACAACATAACAGTGACTAATCTGGAAGGAGGCCAAACAACATCATATATAGAAAGGAAGCAGTGACATTTATATCGTACACACTGGTCTTAGTCTGTTCTTACCTGTGGTTTTGATTCTGTCATCAATTTCTTTTCATCTTTTTCTGGAGATAGTGTATGGAAGACAAATTTACGGGAGTTGGCACGAGGAGCATTTAGATTCACATCTGACAGTGTTGCTAGTTTCTGCAGTACTTCCCGTGGTTGATTGAGCAGAGATCCATTTCTCATCTATATATTTAAAGAAACCATTAACTGTCTGTAACTTCTCTATCCCAAGTAGACCTTTTTGATATAATTACTTCATACCAGAGAATCGAAAAAAAATACAAGGTTGAATATTTCCACATCTAGTTATAAATAATCCCATAACATTACATCATGCAGTTTCGAAATAGGATGACAAGCCACCTTGAAAACAGCCCATTACAAAATAGAAAGAGAAGCATATTTTCTAACTATTGATCTAATTTTGAATAAAAGTTCATTGATATGGAAATCATTGCTAGGACTAGTTGGTGATCTTGGTATACAATTCAAATCTTGTTATACACACTAAATTTGGTCCATTACAACAAATTCTTCTGAAGAGGACTTAAAAAGAAACCTTTAGAAAACCTTTTCCACTCAGTACATAAACTTGAGTTGCCATCTTAAGAGGGTTAGGGTTGAACAAACATGGCTGCTAAATCATTCTGTCTTGCAACTTTGCAAGTAATCAACAGGCACTGCAAAGCAACCGACACTAACCTCACCAAATTTTCTATTCTTCCTATACCTTGAACATAAGGAAAATATGTCCTGCCCCCACTGCATACCCACCACGCCCAACCAGAATGCCAGTAAAAATCTGACATGATCTTAATCAGTCAAAATAGCCTTTATAAAAGGTCCAAGTCTTACTACTTTAGTGGGTGCAACTTTGCATACTTGATGGTGCAACTTACAGACATTGTGTAGAAACAAAGGAAAATTGAAATGAACACAGGCTATATCTGATTAGTCCATTTAAAATGTTTTCTGAATACTTGCGTCAGTTAGAAGATCATGTTTGCACAAATTTGTAGACACTTGACCTTAGAGTTATTGATGAGTGGGAACTGAGTTGCACCACTCCAGATTACACAAGACTGGTCAAATACACCAACCTGAAATTAAATTTAACACAAATTTACCCCCTTAATTTACATCGTTAAGGGAAGCAGTGGTGATGTCACTGAATGAGTAATCCAGAGACCCAGGCTAGTGTTAGACATGAGTTTGAATTCCACCATAGTAGATGGTAAAACATGAATTTAAGAAAAATCTGAAATGAAAATCTATCATATTGCAGACTATGCAACCACAGGTTTTAGATTATGGTAAAAACACATCTGGTTCACTAATGACTTTTACAGATGAAGATCTATTGTGCTTACCTGGTCTGGCCTATATATGAATTCACTACAATATGGTTGGTTTATAACTGCCTTTTGAAATGTTCCTAACAATGCACTCAGCTCAGGAGAAATTAGGGATAGGTAATAAACACTGACCCAGCCAGCAATGCCACATTCCATGAACGATAAAACAAAAATGTGTTCAAAAACCTTAAGTAATTCCACAAAATTTAAGCATTATGTTCTATTTCAAAATAACGGAATTCTTCATTGATCACAAATGTGCAACATCATCGTGAAATGGAAATAACATCAATCCCTGTTTTACAAACTCTCATCCCTTTCTTCACCTCTCATTTTTGGAATATTTGAAATGGAAGCACTTTTTTTTGTTAAGCAACCAATTCAATAATGATCACATACCCGAAGGACAGAGGAAGATTTCTGGGGCTTGAGTCCCGCCGATTCCTGTTGCTTTTTCTCTGAAACTACTTCTGTGGAAATACCTGCAAACGCAGATATAGTGATTATTAGGTTGAGTGTTCTCCAATAATTTGTGCTTTACACCAATTAAACCCAATCAGCTGAACATCTGTTCTACATTTTATGCACAATCTAAACCTTGTTCAATTGGACTAGTGTCCAGTAGGTTTCCACATATATTTTTGATAAAATAAAATCTGAGTAATCATGACATTTAGACTAAATCATATTTGAGCACATATTGAAATTGGTCTGAATTGCAAAATGGCATTTAATCTTCACCCATTCTCTAAAGATCAGAAAACATTTCTATTGCCAAGTCAAAACAACTTTGAAGAACACTGATTGCACAGACCTTTCTGTAAAGTTTTCACAGTAATTTTCTTTGCCAGTTTCATGAATTGGCTGTCTTCACCAACTTCTTCCTCACTACCTGCATCCTGCGACTGGACCAAAAGCAAGATAGATTATACTTCAATCTGATGAAATCCAATTAAAAAATTAACCTTAAATCGAAACTGGAAAGAGTAAAAAATATATTTTAGTACCAGTGTGTAAAAATTAAGCAGGTCCAGACCAAAACTTATTATTTCACTAACTGACTTTCCTTGCACTTAAGTGGGAAATTCTTTCCTTATCTTCTCAAAAGGCAGAAGTTTTCAATTACATTTAAAAATAAAATTACACCTCGTGTTGTTATAAATTTTCATACCTCCTTGCCTCCACCTCATCCCAAAAAGAAAGGCTGATATCCTACAAACAGTGAACTGATTAAATAGGAGTCTTATGAGCAGGTGAGGAAGAGTGAACGAGTTCCCACTTTTCAATCTCCCTTGTTAGCCACAACGAAGATTTATGTTATTTTTAATTTAAAGGTAAATCACTCCCTAAATATAATGTAAAAAGTGGGTAGTTTATTACCTGCCAACTGAAAAAATAAAGTAGCAGCATCAAGCATAGTGACTTTGGACAGCTTTACACATACAGGTTGTTACTACGTCCATTTCTAGCATTCAATGAGAATTCAACATCAAGCTCCAATTATTATTTGGCTATGTTCAATTCAGCTGAGAGATAGAGGAAGGATTCATTACAGCGAGAGGTGAGGTTCCATATTTGGAATGATTTTTGGCAGTATTCCAGGAAAAGTAGCCCACATCGTTAACTGTGTATATTCAGGACTCAAAAGACATTCTGTAGAGCTACAAAAGTGGGAACATTGCGAGCATTTTCTCATTCTGTGTTAGGCAAGGGCTCAAATGATGATTGTGAGCATTAATACTTCAGTGCAGCAAAGACAGCGCAAGCCCACAAGCAGTATTTGCAGCACATAACTCAGCAAGATTAGAACTCGGGGGAAAATACAGACACATCTGGGCTGGTGAAAGGCTGGAGTTGTGCTTGCAAATGAGTCTAGGAGTGCAATTTTGAAGTCCAGAGAACAAAGACCCAGGGAGGAATAGCGAATAACCAGAGAACCCATGATGAAACTGTTTTTAGCAGTTCTAAAACCAGATCAGCAAAGAAGTGAATAAATGCAATTAGGCTGAAAAACCCACCATGGCATTGACTTCTGGGGGAATGGCTCAGAAATCCAAGGGATCTGTTGTAATTGCATTTGCTAGTTGAGTGGCAGTCAAAAAAAAAAAAATCACCTCTCTTCTGTCACAAGCAGTTTTTGGAAATATAAGCTTGTTTATGTACTGAACTCTGTCACAGGTGATACTTCCATTTCAAACATGTGAACAACCTCGAAAGGTGCAAACAGAAATCGGCAATGAGGCCCTGGGTGTGGGTTGGGTGGTGGTTGGTGGTGATGGTGATGGTCCTTGCTGGCTTGTTTCCTTGCCTTTGGTTTTAGCTAGCCTCTTGTCTACCACAAACTGCAATCTGGTCACGGTGGTCAGGTGATGCATGTGGTCATTTTAAGACTGTTTTTAAGTTCCTTTCTTAAAAGAGCAGCATTCAAAGTGTTAGGTATTAATTCAGATGCTCAAATTCAAAAATCAATAGCCTATATTTTATATATTGCACTGAAATCAGAAGGACACTTCTACAGCGAATTACTTTCTCAGCAATTTTTCAATTTAATTTCCTAGAGAGGCGGGATAAGCAGCACTTAACTCAATGGTATGTATGAGTTACGTGGCTGTAGAAGATTCTGGATTATTAGGCAGATACCTTGGATAGAAATTCTGACTGTAGAACATAGCAAAATGCCCAGAAGAGTCTGATATCGCAAATGGCAATAATACGGTCAAATAAGGAAGAGTTCCTTCTTGTTTTGACATGCCGATTCATTAAAGAGATAACCTACTCAGTAGCAAAAACTGAAATTGCTGGAGAAACCGAGCTGGTCTGACAGCATCTATGGAGAGAAAGCAGAGTTTAACATTTTGAGTTCAGTGACTCTTCTTTAGAGTAATAGAGCTAGGAAAAGGTGGTATATAGTGCGAGAGACAGCACGAGAGAGAACAGCAGTTAGGCAACGGTATAGATAACGGTGAGCCAAGAGAGAAAGAAAAGCTAATATTGGAACAATAGCAGGTAAAAATGGGTTGGCTGTCCTGAAAGCAGTCCATGTCATGACAGGGCCAGGGGTGAGGGGTGGATGAACGACATGGAACGCGGCAGTATACGGACCCTAAAATTACTGAACTCAATATTGAGTCCTGAAAGCTGCTGGGTCCTCAAGTGGAATATGAGATGCTGTTCTTTCAGCCTGCTCTGAGCTTTCCTGGAGCACTGCAGCAGGCATGAGACAGCGATGTGGGCCAGGATACAGAGTGGCATGTTGAAGTGGCAGGCAATTGGAAGGTCATTTTTGCAGGCAGAACATAGGTGCTCTGCAAAGCACTCACCCAGTCTGCATTCTGTCTTCCCACTGTAGAGGAGACCATACGGTGAGCAGTGAATACAGGAGACTAAATTGAGTGAAGTGCATGTGAGTCACTGCTTCACCTGGAAGGTATGTCTGAAACCTTGGACAGTGAAGCAATCTGCAATTGCAATCCAGAACTTCTCTAACTTCATAAGTATGCTTCAACTTGTTACTTGCAAAATTAGATTGTTTAAAACACAAATCGTGATTTCTGCAAAGAGATTTGGTTAGTCAAACAGAATTTGGAACTTAAGCACATTTGAAGTCATATTTCAGATAAGACTGTATTATCCATGGAAAGTGTTATGATGTGGCAAAGTGTACCAGCATTTTCTTAAAATATCTGGTACCTTGCATTGACTAAAATGGTTTTAAAAAGGAAGCAATCAGCTGACCAGGTTCAGTCAAGCTTATGAAACTTTTAAAAAATCCAGTTTAAACTGAAATCAACATAAGCAAACTAAAATTCCTCTTTCTTACTCTCCAGAAATCCTTGTAATTGGCTCCTTGATTTGCAAATCAGCAAACCTTGCCTTACTTGAAGTGTGTTGTAGTTGCATAGCAAAAATAAATCTTTGCTGTGGCCAACTGAGGGGGTTAAAGAGAGGGGGACAGGTTCACCCATCTTCACTTGTATGCAACAAAATCTTTACCATCGTTTAACCATGAATTCCAAATTATTTAAGCCATTAAATCACTCCACTGCCACTTTTGGGGTCTAGAGCATACCTGACACAATGATTGGTATTTTTGGGGTCTAACCCATCCTCAACAACACATCTATTAAAAAAAAAACTACATTACTTGGTTAGCCTGCTAGAAGTCAGATCTCAAAATTTTAAAGTGTAGCAACGTGGAAGTAAATCATAGAAAAATGTTTGCTACGAGAAGCAAAAGCATTAATGTTAACATAAGATGCTAAACAATTAAGTGTATCCATTCGATGGACCAAAGCCAGTTAGTGTGCATAAATCACCTGCTTACGAAACCACTGTTCACGTTCAAATCGATCTTTTCGCCATTTTACTTCTGCCTGATCTACTTCCTCTTCATCTGGCTCATCTTCAGAATCTCCACGAAATAAGTCAGTCTGTGAGGAATCATCTGAAATAAAACACATTTACGGTCCTCAAAATAAAGCTGATTTTCAGTTTAAATCATGAGGCATACTCAATTCACCTCCTGTTTCCTTCTTCAGCTATCTTTCAGCGAGGACAGCATTATCTACATACAGTAGTACAAATCGTAAGCCACTGAAAAATGCAGAAATATCTTGCAAATGGTCAGTCAGACAGCACGGAAACAGACCACTTGGGCCAACCAGTCCACGCTGACCATGTTCCCAAACTAAACTAGCCTCACCTGCATGCTTTTGGACCATTCCCTTCCAAACATTTCCTATTCATGTTCTTATCCAAATGTCATTTAAACACTGTGGACGCAGGCACAGTCACCACTTTCTCTGGCAGTTCATGACACACACTAACCATTCTGTTTAAACGAAGTTGCCCCTTGTGTTCTTTTTAAATCTTTCTCCTCTCACCTCAAACATATGCTCCCTAGTTTTGAACACCACCCCCCTCCCCACCTTAGGGACAACACCTTTGTTATTCACCTTTTCTATGCCCATTATGATTTTATAAATCTCTAGAAAGGTCATCCCTCAACCTTCTATGCTCCAGTTAAAAAAGTCCCACCCTATTTTTAATCACTCGAACTCTCCATTCCCGACAACATCTCGGTAAATCTTTTCTAAACCCTGTCCAGTTTAATAATATCCTTCCTATAACAGGCTGGTCAGAACTGGACTCTTACTCCAGAAGAAGCCTCACCAACGTCTCATCCCAACTCCTATACTCAAAAAGGTCTGAGCAACGAAGGCAGTCGTGCTAAATGCTTTTAACCGCCCTGTCTTCCGGTGGCACAAATTTCAAAGAATTATGCACATCAACCCCTGGGTTTCTCTGTTCTACTACCCATTTCAGGTAATAAGTGCCTATGGCTAATGTAATGAATTTGACATTTGGAAAAACATACCAATATTTTTCCAACGGAATTTGCGTGCGCGACCTGGCCCATCACTATGCAGGTCTCCATCAGCTAGGTAATGTTCTTGATAAAGACGCAACTTCCGTTTATCTTCATCCATCAAAACCTTCCTGCAGGTAGTAGAATCACGGAATGAAAGAAAGTAAGTAAGAAATCAGTGGTGCTTGCTTGCTGTTGCAAAATGTAAGGAAAGCACAGAAAACAAATTCCAACAGATAAGAAAAATTCTAAACAACATAATTTGCCATAAATGGTTTATTAAAGAAGTCAAAGATAACAGCAAGCTCAAAGATAAGATGCAGTTGTGCAAAGATAGGTGGCAGGTCAAAAGACTGAACAGAATGTAAATAAACTGTGAAAATAATTACTAAAAAAAAGATTAATAAGGAGGGGGGAAAAAAAAAAAAAGTACAAAACAGATTTGGCCAAAAAGAAACAAATGAAAAGTTTGTTCAGATATTTAAAAAATAAAACAGTTAAAATAAGTTTTGGCCTTTTCGAAAAGAATTATTGAGAATTAGTAAATGGAGGATAAAGAGATGGCAGACAAATTAAACATACTGTGTTTCAGTCTTCACTAGACAGGATGCTAGTAGCATCCGGCCGGTGGCTCTAAATCAGGCATTGAAAGGGAGGAGGACCTCAAGGACATTACAATTACCAGGGAAGCAGTTCCGAGTAAATTGTCAGAACTGCAAGTTGACAAGTTCCCGGATCCTGATGATGCCATCCTAGGGTCTTAAAGCTAATGAGATAGTTGTTGCAGTGGTTCTAGCTTCCAAAAACTCATTAGATTCGGGGAAGGTTCATTTAGATTGGAAAACAGCTAACTGGACCTCCTTTATTCAAAAAGCCAGAGAGGCAGAAAGCAGGAAACTACAGGCTAGTTAGCCGAACATTTGTCATAAGGAAAATGTTAGAAGTTAAACATGTTATAACAGGGTATTTGGATAAGTTCAAGGTAATCAGGGAAAGGCAACATGGTTTTGTCAAAGGAAACTAATTTATTGGAGTTCTTTGTATACGTCATTTGTGCTGGAATACAGGGGAACCAGTGGATGTATTGTATTTACATTTCCAGAAGAAATTTGATAAAGGCACCACAAAAGGTTATTATGGAAAATAAGAGCTCATGGTACAGGGGGAGGGGGTGGGGCGCAACATATTGGTATGGATAGAAGATCAGCTTGCAAACAGGAAACAGGCAATAGAAATATGTGGGTCTTCTTGGCTGGCAGGATGTCGTGACTGATATGCCACCAGGTTTGGTGCTAGGGTCACAACTCTTTACAATTTAAATAAATGAGTTGGATGGAAGGATTGATCATTTAATCTTCTGATGACACAAAAGAAAGGTAGGAATTTGATTTTGAAGAGGACACAGAAGCCTACAAAGGTTAACTGAGGGGACAGAGATCTAGAAAATGGACTATAATGTGGCAAAATTGGAAACTGTCCATTTTGGCAGAAAGAATAACAACGAAGCTATCTGAACGGTGAGAGGTTGCAGAGCTCTGGGATCTAAATAGATTTGGATATTCTAGTGCAAAAAATCACAGAAGTTTACTATGCAAGTAATCAGGAAAGCTGCGTTGTTGCATTCAGTTCCCTTTGCAATAAAATGTAAGAGTAGGGAAGTTGTGCTTCAGTCATACAGGGCATTGCTGAGGCTGCATCTGGAGTATGTGCAGTACTGGTCACCGTACTTACAAAAGATGTTACTGCATTAGAACCAATTCAGAGAACATTTACTGGACTATTACCTGGCGTGAGCGGATTGTCTTGAGGAAAGGTTAGACAAGCTAGGTCCGTACTCTTTGACATTCAAAGTCAGAGGTGGTTTAACTGAAAAATGAAAGTGGACTTGACAGGTCAATGTGGAAAGGATGTTTTCTTTTGTGGGAGAATCTCAAATTAAAAGACAACTTTAAACTAAGGGAGCACTCATTTAAGTAAGGCACGAGGGCATTTTATCACTCTCAGAGGGGAGTGCCTTTGGAACTCCCTTTGTCAAAAGGCAGTGGATGCAGAATCTTTAAAATATTTTTAAGGCAGAGGTCGATGGATTCTTGACGACCAAGCGTGTAAAAGATTAAATTGGGTTAATTTAATACATTCCTACATGTAGGAATGTAGAGTTGAGCATTAAAATCAGGTCAGTCATGATCTTCTTGAATGGTGGAGCAGGCTCAAAAGGCCGAAAGGCCCATGTTCTGTGCTAACATAATATTTTTGGGACAACAAAGCAGGAATCAACAGAAAAGTCACCCTTGGTTCTTGCATCCAAAGTGTCAAACACTATAATCTATGGTAACTTTCTTCTATATTAACAGGTTAAGCTCGGACATTTACCATTTATTAAAGTGTATGGTTTAATTGCAAAACAGGGCATCACTTGGTCTATGGTCTTAGACAACAAATCAAAAGGATTGCAAGTGCCCCAAGGTATTCAAATTCAAGTAATACATCTTTCATTTGCAAAAAACTATGATTCACTGCTAGCCTTTTTCAGAAGATTGTTCATGCATTTTGAAGTTCAAGTGAAACGCCTAATTATGATGCTTAACTTTAAATGGTCCTGCAAGTATTAATCCAGTTCATTGACTAAATAATATGCTCTTTAACTTGACTTGCTGTGTAATTTAATCACAGAACTCCCAGAAATAGCTATGTGACTAAAATACGCCAGTTACAAACAAAACACATGTTTAGGAACTAAGTTCTTCATATACCAAAAGAACGATCTATTATCTGGACCACAAATCCGCTTGAAGCAATTATATTTCCAAAGAGCAAAAGGAAGTGAAGAAATTTTGGGTGAACCTTCAGTGCAATGAAAGACACAAAGTTGAATAATAAGCCACTCTGCACAAAAGTGAAAAGCACTTGCTGTTCACTGTACCAATACCTGTCCAATGTTTGAGGATTTGTTAAGACAATGAGACACCAAGGACTCTAATGACATTTTGAATGTCACAACACACCCAGTTTAAGAAAATATAAAACTGCACTTATTAAAATCTCATTCATACTGAAAACAAAATAAAGATTTAAGAGATGGATGAGGAGGAAGGACTAATGACAGACAAATGGAGTTTAATATTGAGGTTTAAACTTATTAATATTCTTCTGAAGGACTGAGACTCCATATTTGCATAACTAAATTCTTCAGAGCCACAGAGGTTACAAGAAATACTTAAATATCATGCCAATAAAAAATACTCCTGAACACATCATTTTGGCTTTTCTTGAATTTTTTTTTGGCCCAATACCTCAACTTTACATATTGCACCCATTTCAAAAGCTGTGTCTGAGTCTTATCACCCAAGTTCAATTTTAGCACAAATTGTGAAGAAGCAGAGTAACCCAGATGGCAACCTCCGTGCTCGACTCCACAAAAGCATATCTGGCACATTTTTAATTTTACTTTTCTTTAGAGGCTGTTTGTTGGTCAAGGCCACCACTGGATGGCACTGTGAAAGTACACTTACAGAAACAAATTTGCAATATCACATCACATCAAAGCAACAGAACAGCAGCTGCCTGAAACAAATTTTGGGCATGAATGACAGTGGTCCCAGCATTGTTCACTTCCAACCCTGCAATCAGACTGAGCAGGTTCCCTGAAAATCACGAGGGAACAGAAGGCAGGAGCTGAAATCTGCTTGTGTTTTGCCTACAGTTTGCTGTCCAATCCAGTCAACATACTTCCAGAGCCAGCCTGAGCAGTCACTGTCTCCTCCCAGCCACAAACTCATTGTGGATTTGACAAACAAGCAAATGCCCATTGCACCTGCACACTGTTCTCCACCATCGCTAATGATAGTTTAATTGATGCATGTGCAACATGGTGAAAAGGCTATTGTGGGAATGTGACATCACTGGCACCATCTGCGCCACATTTTGGCAGTCACATCACAGACAGAGTTATTTATATTCAACACAAATTCACAAAGAACTGTTTCCACAGTTCAATATGTTATATTCTCAAAAGGATCTTTTGGTTGAACCGGTTTAAAATTGGTTGGCTGTAACTAGAAGACAGTGAATATTATCTGGCTAAAGGGAAGGTGGATTTAAAAAATGGATTCCAATTAGATGATCAAATTCTTTACTTCATCCTTAACCATTATCCAATATAACATGTAGAAAACAGCCCTATGTATTTGGCAAGTACTCACATGTGAATTTTGTTCACTTGTTCTTGTAGTTCCTCATCTGATGGAAGATCTTCTTCAATTACATCCTCTTCATAATCATCAGATTCTGCATCATATTCGTCATCACTTGCCACTTCGCTGCCAGAGAGTTCAGCCTCGTCTTCTACAAAGTCTTTTAGTTTCCTACAAAATAATTCTAAAATTAGAGTCACACTTGGACTGAAACAACCAATAATCTGCCACAGTACTGAAGCAAGATTCACTACATTTCTTCTGATGGTTGGAAGCATGGCCTGTACAGTGCTCATAAATCAGACAAGTGGCGATGTTTTAGAGGGGAATCTGGAATGAGGTATTTGTGCACCATTTGACCGTGAGCATCACAACCCCATAGTAAGGCACAAAAGCAAAATACTGCAACATGCCAGATATTGCTGTTTTCTTCCAAAGTCAAATTCATTTTTCAGAGAATGGAATAATGAAGGGAAAGAATTCAACAGATCACTGCTTAAAATATTCAGTGTACTCAAAACATAAGAATTTATCAATTAAATCAAAAACAATAAAAGAAACCCATGTTGGAAATATAGATTAGAAACATATTTCAAGATGCAGCTGAGGTTTACAGAGAAGGTGAGAAAATAAAATCTCACTCATACTCACAGTTTGCGCTTCATGAGAACTTCCCGGGCCATCTGCTGCTCTTCATCATCCACTTTCTCGTCATCTTCCTCTTCAACACTTTTCTCATCCTGGTCACAGAAATTAAACATTTTCCCTACATAAATTCATTAGAGGTTAAGTGTGTGATCAATCACATGCTACACGAACGAAACTTCCTCAGTCACAAGAGCGTGCCCCTGACCAAAATGGTGCGAATTGTTTTGTTTTTGAAAAATAACTTTTCAACATTTGAGCAAGGCTACCTTTTGAAGACAAATGACAGGCATAAACTACATGTTAAAAAGCAGATACAACTGACAGATCTTGCAGATTTACTCAGCATTCCAAGGAGCAGAAGCAGCACTAATTTTGCTTCAAATCTTCCAAAGCAGTGATGTTCCTCAAGTAGAAATCCAGTTCGTTTGAAGGGTTCAGACTGTTCCCCACCCAACAGCAGTACACAACCAACTCCCATGGGCAGTATTTTAACCAAAGTGGCATACAGCTGCAGAGTTTCTACTAAGATCCCTTCATATAACAGAGGCAGTTGCAGAAACTATGTATTTGCCTATTCCAAACTCCTGAATTCAACATGTTGTACATATGAGCTAGATGGCAGTCTGTTCATCCAAAATAAGCAGTTTCAGTTTCGCCAGAGGTTTTGATTTCCAATCTGAATTTCAGTCTGAGTTTCTCCAAGACACTAGAAGTTTATTTTCCTTTTAAGTCAGGATCTTTCAAAACGTAAGGTTTTGAAACCAGATTCCATCACAAATAGGTGTATGAAATCCACCAACTCTTATCATCCACAGCATTATTATGCTCAACATTTTCCTGCTCAATTTTCCCTTTCCTACAAATGTCCGAGTGCAAGCTCAAGCAAAACTCAGCTGCCCATATACGGTGCACCAATTTCTATTCACTTAGCATCCTGCTCCTTGCTGTTCTCTCGGTTGCCAGTCAGTCAACATCTCAATAATTTAAAAGCATTCATACACATTTAAATAATCCACAATCTCAGCTTTGCCTATTACTTGGCCTTATCTTCACTACAAGTGCACTCCCTGAAACCACTAAACTCAGTTTTTATTGTCAGTCTTTACTCACTCAACTTTCTACTGAAAACACGAGGGTCTTGGGCCTTACGATGAAGTATCTCCTTAAAGGTCTACAGTTCAAATCTCTTCATTTATTTATTGTCCTCCAATGGCACAGTACCTACTTCACTCCTTAGGACTGAGATGTTGAGATATTCATTGAAAAATACTGCATGAAAGGCAATTTGTCATCTCAGTTGGGGATATTTCAAAATAAAAGGGACTCCGAATTTCAAAATAAAAGAAAAGGAAGAAACAACAGGACTAATGGATGCACGTTTGAAAATTCTAGGACAAAAATAAAGCTTTATTATCAGTAAAATGTGTTGTCAAACCAGTTCTAAAGCAGGCATATAATGCAGTCTGCACAACTTCATCTTGAATCAGAAGGTTTAGAACAAATGGTTGGAAGTTAAGAAATAACAAGGGCAAGATGACAATGATGCAAGTATTCTATAGCCACTAAGAGTCGCAATATAGTAGCAAAGAAAGAAATCAGATGATAATGAAGGCGATACCCTAATCGTTGGTGAGTTTCATCTTCAGGTAGATTGAAAAAAAAATCAATTTGGGAGAAGTAGTCATAAAGAATTCATAGAATGTTCAGGACTGTGTCCTAGAACAGTATATTTTCCATCCAACCAGGATCAGGCTACTTTAAGGCTGGTCATGTGGAATAATGCACATGTTTAACACAAGATCTGAGAAATAAAGATTCTATTGAAAAACAATGACCTAAAATGGTAGAATTTTAAGCTAGGATAAATGAATAACCTTTAAAGAAATAGTACATGGTTCACAACAAACGTGTCCAGTGATTCTAGGAAGGATTCTTGGAAAGGGATAAAGCAATCACGGTTAACCGAGGCAGTTAGCTATCACGCCAACCTGAAAGGGAAAAACATATAATATGGCAAAGACTTGTGGTAAACCAGGTGATTGGGAAAGTTTTAGAAACCATCAAAAGATTATAAAAAAAGATACAGATGGATAAGGCAAACATGGAGAGTAAACTAATAAGTAATATCAAAACAGATAGCAAGAACTTCTTTAAGTTTTTAAAAAGGAAGAGAGAGGCCAAAGAGAATATACTCCTTCTAGAAAACGAGGTTGGGGAAATAATGATGGGGAAATCACAAAATCACTGAGGAAATGAATAAATATTTTCCATCAGTCTTCACAGTATGAGACAAGATGATTTCAAAAATACTAAATAATCAAGTGGCAACAGAGGGGTAAAAGGGAACAAAAAACTATCACTGGAGAAAATCTGCTAGGGAAACTAAGTCAGGCTAAAGGCTGATAACATCTTCAGTCCCGATGGGTTCAAGGATATCAAAGGAAGCAGCAACAGGAATCATGGATGCATCAGTAGCAATCTTCAAATAATCTTTCCATTCTGGAAAAAGCTCAGGATTGAAAAAATGCTAATAAAACACCTTTATTCAAAAAAGACTAGAAAATGGGTAACCATAGGCTAGTTAACTTAATGTCTATTAGTAGGAAATATTAGAATTTATTATAGAACATTTAATACCAGAGCACTTAGAAGAAATGCAGAATAAAATCAACTGGAGTCAGCATGACTTTATGAAGGGCATATCATGCCTGACAAATTTAGTATAATTCTTTGAGGAGTTAACAAGCAGGATTGATTGATTGTTTTATTGTTATGTGTACCAAACTACAGTGAAAAGCTTTGTTTATGAGCAGTGCAGGCAGATCATAGTAAGCAAGAATGTACAGATCAAAAAAAAAAAGGCATACAGGTTAAATTGCACAGGGTGTACACTAGGCAAGATCAACATTATTCAAGGCTAGAGAATCCATTCATCAGTCTGATAACAGCTGGGAGCTGTTCCTGAACCTACTCAAGCATGTGATCAGGCTTCTGTATCTTCTGTTTGAAGGAAGAGGTTGTAGGTACCTTGAGTGAAGGAAGACCTACCTCGGGTATTTGCAGCGATAAGTAAGGGTAAGCATTTCATAAGTTTTCTTAAACAGTTTGATTGGGGGTAGAAATGTTAGTCAGTGGGATTAACTGCTGCACTTGTGAGATGTGGGAGATCGTGATGCTATCCAGTGTCTTGGATAACTACATCTGGAGGAAGTGCACTCAATTGCAGCTCCTCACAGACCGCATGGACAGATTGGAGTGGCAATTGGATCCACTCAGGAGCATGAGGATGGCGGAAAGCTGCATAGACAGTAGTTTTAGAGATGTGGTGACACCCAAGGTGCAGGCAGATAGATGGGTGACCGCTAGAAGGAGCAGGCAGCCAGTGCAGGAATCCCCTGTATTTGTCACCCTCTCTGTCAAGTATACCATTTTGGATACTGTTTCGGTAGTGGGGGGGGGCAGGGAAGATGACCTATCAGGGGTAACGGCAGCAGCAGCCAGACTGGTGGCACCACCATTGTCCTTCCCTTCTTAAGAACAGAGCCAAAGAGCACTAGAGCAGTAGTTTAGGGGACTCTATAGTTAGGCGTACAGATAGGCACTTCTGTGGACGT